TAAAGGAAAGTTTTCCTGAAGAGTAAAACATGTATGATATGGTTTGTTTTCATGTGCTTGGAACTACTTGGATGCTTTTGAAGCTGTCCTGTGCCTGATAGCTTGAAAAACACCTGTCTTGTCAGGATGCTGCACACCTGTGACCTCCCCTGATTTTGGTGATTTGCAGTTTTTTTGTACCAGTTGTTCAGTGTCATCTCCTTAACCACAGACAGCACTTGTTGCTAATGGAAAGGAACTTGATCTCTTTTTACACCTTTGCTCCCTCAGTCCACACAAGGAACTGAAGAACTAAATTTTTGTTTGACCCCACAGTTAAGGACAACTTTATTTAATGACAAGGTAATGCCTGGTTTTGTAGGCAGGACGCTGAATTCCTTATACCTCTGGCACTACAACAGAGATGTTTTGTGCCAGTGCTGTTTACATAAAAAAAAAAAAAAAGAGTTCCTTTAAGCACTATACAAGCAACAAATTCCATACAGTAGCTTGTTCTACATTTTTCCTTTTGTTTGCTTACTATTGTTAAGTCCAGATCATTTACTCCTTTAAAAGCTGACTGACAGCTTTCAGTTGTGTAATTCTCAGTGTGCTAAAGGCTGTTGTGTTGACAATAACTGAGGTACGTGCATTCAAACATTGCTCAGGAGGGATGGTTTACTTCCACTGCTTATTATTTCAGGCATGTTTGCAAAGGGGAGAAAAAAGAAAGGCAACTGGGAAAAGGAGTGATGCAGTAGCTAGGGCAGGGTAAGGATATGAGGAAGGGATTTGTGGTGGGGGTGGAATGTAAGCAACCACCCCCCGAGCTTTCACAGAAGTGACATCAATAAATAGAGTTCGTAGGTGGAGACCCTGGGTTTTGTATTGCAGGTGAGCAATCTCCTACTGGATCTGCAGAATCCCTGAGGGGGCAGGAGTAAGAAAGAGGAAATGAAGACACATCAAATATGAAAAATCGTAGCTTGGTCTTTGGCTGCATTGTTGTCTTAAGTCCGTCCATCACTGTAGGAAACCTCTGTGACAGACACGGATTTGTCATGGGTAGAGGCTGTATCACATCAGCCTTCTCTGCTGGTGTGTCTGAGAGGAAGAAAGCTGGCTACATACATAGTCCCACTTGTATAACCCACATCCCTAATGGAATCTGGGAGAAATTGTTATGACAATGTGTTCCTAATGTATTGCAAGACCACAGCGCAATAATACTTTTAAACCTTAAACGTTCTGCATCTGATCTAATATTGCAACTCATCCATCAAAAATTGACCTTGAAGTCTCTCAAAGATGGCTGTTGCTGGAGTAAATGCTTATAATGAATGCTAGTGTTGCCTTGCTGGATGGGAAACGGTACTGTGAGTCCTCTGAGTGGCAAAAACAGGTCGATAGCTTGTGGCAAGATATCCCCAGCAGCATCTGATGGGTAGTGATCTTAGCTCTAGATATCACTGCTCCAGTTCCCTGTGTCAAAAAAAGGTAGTTGTTAAAGTACCACCATAGAATCATTAAAACAGGAGCAGAGCTGACCCCACTTGAGACAGGACCAGCTGTACCTAAACCTCTGCACAGACACTGAAACTGGGAGCCTGCGGCTCTTCCTGTCATGGCACTAGTTTTTCACAGTAATAAATAGCATTCCTATGCCTGTGCATTGGGGATTCTTGTCTTCATAATAAAATCACTGCTATCCTTTTTGTTTGGGTTTTTTTCTTTTTTTTTTTTTTTTTGGTGAACAAAGCAAAAGGTATCATAGAACAAATTTTACAGCAGCTCAGCAATACATTTCTGCTCTTACAACCAAGATAAATTTTATTTCAGAAATCACTGCATCAAACCCAGAGATATGCTGTATTTGAAGAGTGAAAAGAAGTATAGTGATTTATGGACTAGCCAATCTACAGGCTCGCTGATCAACAAAATGGGAGCTTTAAAGCATACAGGTAATGCTGGCCTCATATGTTTGAGGCACACTAAGTTTTGTTAACTTTCTTAGGAGGGAATATCGAAGGTCTTGGTACTGAGAATGGACGGAGCAATAGCAGAGTGTATGAGTTGTGATGATTTATTTCTTTTCCAATGCTTTTGGGTGACACATTCTATGAAATATTAGTGAATTAGCTTCTCTCAGTTCAGCTGTTGGAGCTGTTGTTTCTCCTCTGCAAGCATTTTGCTGTGTCTCTGTCACTGTATTTACTCAGAAATGTGGTTTCACATAGAAACACATAGAAAAAGAGAAGTTTGGGCTATGTATCAGGGAAGTGATTTTGCTGGAACAATTAAATTCTGGAAAAAACTGAAGCTAGTTAGGCGAAGTGGACACTGAGCCATTTGGGAAGCCAGCTAAGCATCACTGCAAATTACACAGGAAGGGAGTAATTCTGCAAAATGAAGTGTTGAAACTGGATAATACAAGTGCTCATTTCTGATGAGGTCCTTACTATCTATTATTTGTATAGAGATAGACAATGGTCCTGTTAGTAGTTCTGTGGAAAAAGAGAATTGAGACACCAGCATTTGCAGAATCCCAGTGAGTAATAATTACAATTTTTAAACCATTATTTCACTATTTAGGATTGTATTTGAAATGGAGAAAAAACACTTTTGTTTACTAATGAAGATGGATGGAATTTCTAAGTGAAATGTTCAGGTGCTGCTGATGGCCTTTGTTATGAGTGGTTAAATTGCAGGAATTGAGTCAATCCCATTCCCCAAAGCACACTGCAGTTAAACTGTAAGAATGGAAACTACTTGAACTACTGCAGAATTGCCCACGTAACCTTTGCAGGTGGAGTGGTTATCCTGTGTTTTGTGCACATGTATATTGAGTTCCCAACGGAAGTCCTGCCTCTGGCCAGGTTTTTGGCATTCTTTCCAAGGGTGCTTTTCTGTTTTTAAGCCAATCGTTTATGTATTTCTCCATTAAAGCTCCTACAGGAGAAGTGATAGAGAAGAAAGTAAGTTAAACCCAAGGCAAATGTGCATTTTGATTATTAGGACTTTCTCATTCTGAATTTTTTGTCACAGTTTTCAAACACCATGTTAGAAGAGAAATAATTGCTTCAATATTCAGGTTTGGGAGTTTGGGGCTTGAATGCTTATTTTAACATGGCAATAATGGTTATTTGACAATATTTGTGTAGTTTGAGATATCTCAAGACTGCACCTCCTTTCATTACCCCATGTGTTTCACTTCTTGAAACTATTATGATTTAAAGGAATGTAACAATTGTTGCTTCATTTAACCTCTGAGCTGGCAAAGAGAGAAGGATGATATGGATGAGGATGATATGGATGACACAAGAATTAGGGTTTTAAATGTAGAGCACTAATTTAGAAACAGTGTAGAACAATCCAGTACATGGTGAATGTTTGACTTTTTTCCTAAATAGATTATAATAACTCTGGTTGTTAAAGAGAAGAGAGCTATCTAGCAGTTACAGATGTCATCAGCTTTTGTCCAACAGCTATCAAGGGCTGTACCCAACTTAAAGAGGTTTAAATTATCCAGGAATAATGCAAAGTTTGGGATTAAGCTCTGTAACATAAGAGGACAAATTCTGCCACATGCTATGGCTTTACAAACTCATTTTCTGAAATGCATTTTATCTCATTAATTGAAAATCTCATAATATTTTAAATAAAACTAACAGCCAGTAATGTGAATTAGAAGTGGTTATGTTGGGAAACAGAGTTGCATGAGAAGTTGCTGCGTTGTCATGGGGGGTGGGAAAAAAAAAAAGGCAGAATAGTTGGCAAGTGCCATATAGGAAATTTGGCTACTAAACATTTCTCTTGTAGCAGTGAAACAAGCCCTCCATGGACTGTGGCAGCCCCTGGAGCCCACATAGGGAAACCCCGGAGCAGCTGCCAGTCACGAACAGCCGGGGAAAACTTCCCCATCCCACAGCTCCTGGAGCCCCTCACCAGCCCAGCCTGGCAGGGACAGTGGGAACAGTGCCCACACTGGAACACCCCACAGCTCCTGGAGCCCCTCACCAGCCCAGCCTGGCAGGGACAGTGGGAACAGTGCCCCTCACCCTGCCCTGGAGCCCCAGAGTGACCAGAGGCTCCGAGGCCCTGCCTGGGGGAGGCCACAGGGCCCAGAGCAGGTCAGACCCAAGGCCGTGCTCCCCACACGGTCCGGGCCCTCCCATCCGACACCTGAGAGCTGCTCTGCCACAGGGATCTGACGGTAACTACAGAGTCTGTCTCCCTCTCTTTCTCCTCCTTCTCTCTTCTTCTCTCTCCTTCCTCCTTTCTTGATGCTTTGGGTAGCTTAAAGCTGGGGGGATTGGATTTTGATTTCAGCGTTGTGGATTAATGTGTGCTGGGTCTGTACTGTGGTGGAATGTTTTGTCTGGATTGTGTGGTGCCCTTCTGAACTGTTGCCCAGTTCCCTTTTTTCCTCCCCTAAATTATCAGTACAGGTGCTTCTTGGGAACAAGTGTGTGGGTTATTCTCTTGATGCTGTCTCGAAGTATTAAAGAACACTCTCTCTCTCTATATATATATATATCTATTTTAAAGTAAAACTCCTGGCTAAGCCCCTGAGCTTGTGGTTCTGGGTCTGGGGTGTTACAAGTGCGTACATGAACACAGAGTTGTGACTGCAGAGCTGTAGCAGGAGTTAATTTTCATTAATTTAGGGTTGTGTTTTGTCTTTTTAAGCTGCTGAGGTCTCAAAGAATCACAAAACTCTCAGCTCTCATCCTGGTAGGTAGATCGTGTAGAAATCATCTCTGAAATATTTTAAACTCTTCTGAATAATTAATTATAGTGACAGATTTTTCCAAATGGACTCTCAGTGCAAGGTATTCTATTGCATTATTCTCCTATAGAAACTTCCAGTTTATTTCTTTGCACTCTTTATCTTACATCATTCTGTGCACATGCTGTTACTTTTTTTTGTGCTGCTTCATATTCCCATTATTGCTTCTTCCCTTGGTCAGGCCATTCCAACATACACATTGCACCTGCTTAGATATCTTTAAAACTACCTCTACAAATCCCTAAATCCATTACAGATGCAAACCAGAGCCTCTCAGTGAGACACTCTGTCTTTTGGACACCAAGTTGTCATCAGAAATCTCACCATCACTTCTTCACCTGCTCATGTGGTGCCCAGCTGTGCCTTGTTGGCCCTGCACTTGCCTGTTGTATGAGATTTGCTGCTCAGAGGTGAGATTTCCAGTTCTGAAAAACTCCACGTCAATCTCGAGTTGGCCCCTGTGTTTTCTTCCAGAGAATTAGGTTTTAACTGGGGAGAGGGGAAGGTTTTAGTTCTTCTTCCATGTGCCTTGAAATACAAGTGGGTATTGTAAAGAAAATATAGCTGCATGAGGAAGCAGAGTGATTAGAGTGAAAACTTCCAATCACTCTGGAAGCCAGGATCTTTACATGTTTTACATTACAGTTCACTATGTTAGCACTTGGCCACAATGCTGTGCAGCTCCTAATGCATCAGAGTTATGGAAACATCTGGACTAAATAGCTTCATGCCGATCCACTGAGAAAATCCACCAAGGATTCAATACTTTTTGAGATATTTCATTTTCTATCTAGGATAGTAGATTGCATTATGCTTATATACCGATTTATGAAACACACAGGAACATCTTGTTTCTCTTTTTTGTTGTTTCTCTTAGTCTTTATGTGCCTACAGGGCACATCTGTGCTATTTTATTAAGAGCTACGTTAAGGCTGGGCCTTGGGTGGACACAGTGTGGGAGAGGGAGCAAAGAGGTTCCTTTTCCCTTTGCGCAGCCCATCCCAAGGCTGCCAGAAATTACAAACTCCTCCAGAGCCAGGAGTAATCCTTTGACAGAAAGATGTTTCTGCTGCATCTCTCCCCTGCTGGCCAGGAGAGCTGGCTGACCGTGTGGGAAAGTACCAAATTACCCTGTTGCAGCCCAGCCAAGGTGCTCTGGTTGGAAGCCCCTTTGCTTCAGGCATTGCTTCCCACACACTGTCTGTCCCTGGCACGCCCTGTGCTGGGATTCTGCAGGAGCAGCACGTTCCCTGGCATCCTCTGATCTCCAGGGATGCTGTTCTGGGGACACCCAGCTCTGCTTTGGTGTGTTTGTGTCATGCTGGTACAGTAGCAACCACTGAAATCTGCTTTTAGATCTCTTGTAGGGCACACACAAGCCCTGCTGACTGTGAGATCTGTAATGTTGTAAGTTGATCCCATCTGCTGTCACAAGGAGCTGTTGGTTTCCAAAACTTCCCTGCCTCTCTGAAAAGTTTGCATCCTGTACATTGCTCTGCTACACAACCCTTATAAAAACCTGATAGTGAGTATGACTTTGACCTGTGCCTTGCAGGTCAGTGTTGTGCATCTAAATGTCTTGAATTTTTAAGTCCAGCAGAGGATCCACGTGGGGATCACTCTGACAGCACATAAAATAACTGCCATTAAACTTTTATTACTGGGCAAAACCTACATCCCCCTTCTTAAAGAGATGAGGGATTGCTACAGACCCTTCCTTTTCCCCCCTGGAAGCATTCAGGTACTGGATATATCTTTTAATTGCTTCCTCCTGGCTCTGAAAGCTTAGCCTTCATCTGGTGTTCAGGTTGGACTTCAAATGAGGCGAGGAGCTGGAGAAGAGACATCCTGTGTGGAAGAGGCTGGACTGTCCTCATGGACTTACCTCCCAAGGTTGCAGGTTTGTTTAAGTTTACTGCTTGATCAGGACTGAATCCCAGTCATGGACTGCAGATCTGCAGGGCTGAGGACACAGAGCTAGTCTGGTATGAGGATGACATCTTTCCACGTGAAGAAGAGAATGTTGTCATCCTTGTGTTTCTCTAAGTTGTCAGATAAAGCAAATTCAACCCTGCTTGTGTAGCTTGAAGAATACCTAATCATTTTTTTAGGTCAGATCCTCCAATTTTAGTCACACTTGAGAGCAGTAAATTAAACTGTTTCTCATGGTGGAAGTTTCTGAATAGTCTGATACAAATTTTCTGTGCCCTCATTAAAGGGATGATTTTCACCCACTGTACTGTTTCAGGCTGATGTGATAAACTCTGGCTCTAATGGAAAACCAGTTAGGAAGCAGAAAGAGGAGAGATTGCAGAGCTGGGGGCAGCAATACCAGCTTGTGACCCAACACTGACCTGCTGGAGTGGGTATGTGAACTTTGACTGTAGCATCCTTTCTCCCAAAGGTACTAATTTTGCAGGATATAAGTAAGGACTCATCTGTCCTTGAGGGAGACCCCTCTATGTTGTGCTGACTTGCTCTTCACCAGGCCAAAGAAGTGTAGCTGTAGGTCAGGAAATGTTCAAGGCAACCCACGGTGTGGGGAGTTAATCTATTTTATGTGCATATAAAAAGCTTTTATAGGGGTCATTATCAACACAAACTGTTGTCTGATGTGCACTGTAAATAAAGTTGTGTAAATCAGGGCAGCCTGGACTCCTCCTGAGCAGTGGGAACAGCGCAGTTCAGCACTGAGACAGGAGTGCTGTAGCACTTCAGGTCACTGGGAACTTCCCAGCTCTAAAAGAAGCCCTAAACAAAACTGTAAGAACTCTGTGATGAGCCCTCTGAGAGTGGGAGCTTCCCACTAAACTTGCAAGTTTTATCCTTCCCTCTGTTTTTTCAACCTCCTTTAATTCCTTTCAGAAAGAAAAAATAGTCATTATTTCATTTATTAAAATCAAGGAAAGCAGTTTGGCTTTTCTTTTCCTGCCAGTTTTAGCTGCAGTACAGAATGTTTCTGACATCTGCTTTCCCCAGAGTCAGAAAAATCACAGGATGATGCCTTGCAACTCTCACTTGTTTTTTGGGGCACTCATGATCTCAATCAGTTTTCTCAAGAATTTGCAGATGGAGAAGCTGTTGTATGGATCAGTTCTGTTTTTATTTAGAAGTATTTATTCAAGCTTTTTCCCTTTTTTACTATTCTACAAGGTCCCTGCTGAAATTGGTGCAGTGTTTATTTGCAATGTTTTGGAAAATATTACACGTAGCTTGTTTATCTTATAAGTATTTTAATGAGAAGAATTGATGTTGTCAGCACGTTGAGTCAGTCATTTACGAGCAAACTCTTCATGGACATTAGTTTAGGGACCAGTTGGATGGTGGGATGTTCCTGAGAGAGTCTCTCTCAGAGTGTTTTGTGGTGTGCAGCAGAAATCTGGTGTTGAGAGAGAAAGTGTGTCCTGCTTCACTGATTTCTTTTCTTTACCCTGTAGCATTGAGTGAGTTCTTTACAGCTGGCAGGAAGAAAACCCCTTTGCTTCTTGTTCAACTGTAGTGTCTTATGTAAAAACTGATATTCCTGGAGAAAGGGGACGGTTGCTCCCAGCTTCTCCAGGCAGTGTAGCACCGAGGTTGTTCTCATGGAACCTCCACATTCACCTTGAGATACATACTCTGCATTCTTTGCTTTCTTAAGGGCAAGAACTTCCATGGGAAGCTGGGAAAAAGAACTTGATCCTACAGTTCAACAGATTCAGCCAATACTTGCCATGCCTTGAGATGGCATTTCCACTGGAATGCTGAAGGCACCTCAAGGTAGGTGGTGATTGTTACTTCTGTTTCACAGTTGGTAAAATGAAATCACTGGAGGTTTAAGTGGCTCACCTGGAGATCAGATAATAAATCCAGGGCATGTCAAACACCCAGCTCCACAGCTCTCAGCCTCTGGCAGCAGAGTTTCATTTAGCAGTAAAGGAAAAATATGTCCAAACTCTCCAATTAGTCATGGAAGGAATGAATGTGCAGGAATGTCCTTCCCTTTCAATCACACAGTTACTTTGCAGTGATGGGAAGCTTTGCTTGGGCCTGAGTTCACAGGGAGAAAGGGTGACTGAGGTGAGAGGTGTTCGAGCAGCTGAGCAAACCTCACATGCACTTGAAATTACTGCAGGGTGTGTAAGTTCATAAAAGCCTCATAACTGTGAGGTTTATTAGCCAGCATAATCATTTTCCAAGGGAAGCAGGGCAAGGTGGGTGTTAATTAACCCTCCATGTGCTGTAACACTGGAGAAGTAGATTATTTCTCATTTTTTTTCTGCATGGGATTGACCCACACAGTCAGATGAAGCAGAGACTTATGTGGCTATAAAAACAAAGCAAGAACACAAAGCAAATCAAAGCCCACCAGTAGGACACTAGGGTTTGTTATGCTGAAATGCTTCCAGTAGAGATAATTCATTATTAATGCTCTTGCACACAACAAGGGAGCCTTTGGGGAATGTTTGTCTGGGTGACTGTGCCATTTTTCTCCTTGACTTGCAAGAAAACTGAATTCAGACTGGAGCTTATTCAGAGAAATGAGCGTGGCAGATCAGGGGAATGGATTTCAAAGCAAAATCTACAACTTCTACTTGGGATGGAGTGATTTATTTTTCTTATTTGAGTTTTGCTAGGAGGTTGATCTCCAAGAGCATGACTTTTGTGGTTAGAGTGATATCCTTGGTGGGCTCTCATGCAGCTGGCAAGTACAATTCACAAAAAAGTTGGATTTTACAGATTTTCTTTTTTTTCTTCTTTACTTTTTTTTTTTTTTGCAGGAGAAGTAATTTTTTCCACAGGACTCTGAAAGAATTTTATAATGCATATAAATGGAGTTTATTAAGGCTTTGGCAGATCAGTGACCCATGCTAATTTGTAAAACTCATAGCAAGTAGTCGAGTTTAGTGTTCTTGGAGAGGAGGATTGAGAGGTCTGGGATTAAAATCCATTGATGTAACAGGTTGTGCACTTTTCCTCTGTGTAACACAAAAGTTGTGTTTCCTTTCAGGAAAAGACAAGGCATTTGTCATTTAGGAAGGTGATTGCCAACCTGGTTATGTTACCTGAACAAAGGGGTTTCTCCTGGAGCTGAGTGGATTCACTTGCTGTTTTGGGAGACTACAAGCTATTCCAGGACAGGGCTTTGGACACGTGGGAGATACCAGTGTAATTTAAAGGCCAAGTATTCAGTAAGTTTTCCTTGGGACAGGAAGCAACAAGGCAGGTCTGGCCCTTAAGAATTGTTTGCAGGCTGAAGAGATTTCAAGTTTACCAGAAGGTGTTATATCACTCTATTAATTCCAGAAAGTTTCCAGAGAGTGATGAGAGACTTGACAGCAGAATACCAGGAATAGCAATCCAGATAAAACAGCCCTAGAGTCCCCTTTCTGTGTTTTTACCTTTCTCTTCTACATCTGTGCTTTTCCCAATGAAATCCTTGTAAAGGCAAGGTACAATAGACAACGATCCCTTGGTGGCAATGTTTCTCCTCCTAGATCTTGAAGGAAAACTAATTTTGGCTTCCATAGTTTATTTACTGACATTGCCAGTGCTGCTTGTAGAAGACCATAACAATATAGCACCGTGAGTAATGGGGCATCTGGGGGAACAAGATGCTCCCAGCAGGATGGCTGATGCCATGCTGCAGGAAACTTGAGAGGCTCTTCAAATCATAACTTGCTTTTCCCCTGTATGACTCGCTGCTGTAGAGTTTCAAGATTCCCTTTGAATGGTCTTTCATTCCTCTTTGTGTCCTGTGGGAGACCAGAGGCTGCTTTATGGAGCTGGTCTTTATGGGGAGACTCAGTGGTGTCTCACTAGAAATAATGTACCAGATGCCATTGCACAAAGATGGATTTCAGAATTACGTGGATGCAGTGGATGATAAATCCAGGTAACAACAAAGAAACATTAATAACCACTTGGTGTAGAAACCTACTGAACTGACTCAGTCTCCTTCAGTAAAAGTGAGTGTGGTCCATAGATTTTGGTTATTCCAGCAAAGCACAGAGCTTAGTTTATCACATTTGCAGTTTCATCTAAACTTGCAGAAAGGTTTCTTGGAGACTTAAGCTTATATATCAAAACAAAAACCTTGAAAGATTCATGACTTTACCAGTATTTTTTCCCCATTCACTCATTTCTGTCCAGATACATTTTTTTCCATCAGCTGAGGACAGAGGCAGATGGATTGGTATCCCTAAACCAGGAGAGGCTGTGATGGGTGTTCCCCTCCAGCAGGGCCCTGTGGTTCTTGGCAGCCCCGGGAAGGAAAGGGGCGACCCCAGCCAGGGGAAGGGTTTCTGCTTTCAGTGCACCAGCCAGATTTTGGGCCCTGCTGCCAAGAATGCAGATTTTATTGGTGCTGCAAAAAGAAACTCTGTTCAGGGGGCTTTAGTTTCAATCCCAGTTTAATTCAAGTTAATACTGCAAAGCATACCCTCCACTGCCCTGGTGCCATTTCACAGCCCCGGGTGGAGCTGCCCTTGTGCAGCAGAGTGGAAATGGGTTCTCGGTCTTTAGGGTGTCAGATTTATTGTACCAGATTTGATGCACAAATGGGCAAATTATGCGGGTGGGGGAGAGATGGGGTAGTGAGAGGAAGGGCCTGGGATATGGGAACTGGTTTCAATAAGAGCCAGTGTGAAATTTCATCCCCTTCTCAAGAAGAAACCAGCCTTTTCAAAGTCTCTCCCATTTTTCCAGGCTTAAAGTAAATAAGTAAATAGCTCGTGCTCCCACTTGTTGGCTTCAAATGGAACCCAGAACCAAGGGGTACAAAGGAGACTAAAAAAAGCATTTATTGGCTTGAAAGAAAATATTTACAGATGGATCAGGATGAGGCAGGTTTGGTTCTTAAGAATTCCCCCATTTGGTTTCTGTAGCAGAGGAAGCAGCTGAAGAATTTTGTTCACCTATTCCTGCATTTACTCTATCCCAAATAGTTATGCCAGGTGCTGGAATGAAGAAATACTTAATTACTGAAACTTCCATTTACATTAGATCTAAAACCCTCACTTTGTTGCTTTCTTTAATTGCCCAAGCCAAAGAAACACTACAGAGTGTATATTCCATTAATTTAGGCTCTGAGTCAGCAAGGTAATTTAATTAAGCAGGAGTGTAATTCACAGCACATTAGAAGTCCCACTGAAACCTACTTCTGCTGTTCTGCAGTTGTTTCAAAGCTGGTTTTATTTCTTGACGCTCCAAGACAAGCCAAGCTTATTTTTTTCATTTCAGCTCCAGTTGTGAGCAGGGGAGAAAGGCAATTTGAGGTTAAGTGGAGAAAAATTTTACAGAGTGCTTGGGGAAAAGCTGAATTTGAAGTAGCAGAGAATGCAGAGGAGCAGAGCATGTGTGGGCTGGGTGTTTCTCAAGCTGCAGGTGGATGCTCATTGCTGTGTGCCCAGTTCCCAAGGCATTGCTTGGATGGGCCTGGAAAGGAGGTGACAGGAGGCCACTCTTTATTAAATACCTAGGGCTGGGCTGTGTTGTGCCCCTCACCAGAAATACAATGATAAAAACTTCTTTTCTGAGTGGTGACAGGAACTAAATCTCTGCCTCATTGCTCACCTCACTTGCTGGGGTAGCTCGAAATGACCTGGAGAAGTCTTGCACTGCTATCCCAAGAAGGCTGATAAAGCTGTGGCAGAGGAATTGCCTGGATGAATTTCTGCTAAAGAGTCCTAAGGAAGCACTCCCCTTGGCATCAGCTTGGTTGGAATATGTGTTTTTAAGGTCCAGCTTACTCAGAGTGTGGTCCTGCTCACGCTGAATGAATAACTCCATTATGTCAAAAAAAATTACGACTGCATAAATTAGAAGAAACTTGGATCCTGTGCCTTTCTTTCAAGAAATTGTGAATGCAGTTTTGGGAATTGACAAATATTTGGAATATAAATTGAAAACACCAGACAAAATTTTTTATTTCTTGTTATGGCTACAACAATGTTATAACTCACTTTCTTTTGGCTTTAAATAATGGTCCAGATAATTAAACATTTTGTTTTAAACCTATTAAAACCAGGCTATAAAAGTTAGTGCCAGTTTTATATAATATATAGAGAAACTTAGCATATGTAAGATGGTTTTTAATTGAGGAAAATACCTAAGCAACTTCTTGGAAGTTTTGGAACATTTTGACAGAACTTCTGACCTAATGGTACAGAAAATGCTGAAAGGTTAGCATTTTAAACCAAATATTTTTTGTGTAAAACAAGAATAATCAATCATCACGTTAAAGGGGAATTGCTGTAACAAAGAAGCAATTTATCAAATGCAAATGCAGGGTTATGAATAGACTCCAAGAAAGCTCTCAGTTTCTTGTCCAGAGCTGCTTTCCCACCAAGTCAACATTATGTCACTAACAGAGTTGCTGGGAAACTGGGATACTTGCACGTAGAAAATTTGCTTGGAAAATGTTTCTATTTTTGGGTGTATCAACACACAATTCTGAAAAAGATTTTTCTCTTTCTCTCCCTACCCACTCCCTCTGTTTCCCTAAAATTTCAGATGGGAATGGGGGTGCCTCAAGTGAATACTGGTGCTTGGAAGCATTTTAACTTTGTACAGTAACATTTGAATGCAATGTTGTAATTTAAAAAAATTAAGCTGAAGAAATAATTCTTTAAAAATAGCACTGCTATACTTCTAAGCACAAAGAAAGTCCTTTCAGTTCCACCCACTTATTTTAGCTGAGTTGTTAGTTTAATTTTCAGCACATCTTTTGTGAAACCTGGTCAGGCTGTGGAAACTACCAAGTTGCTCCTGTTTCTTTAGCTGCTCCTGGTGAAGTGTTTGTGAGTCAGCCAAGGGAACCCAGCACATTTCCCAGGGGAAAAGGCTCAGGAGAAAGACAGGCCAACCACTAATGAGGCATTCCCAGGAAACACAGAAGGGAGGGAGATCAAAGTGGAGCAGCTGGAAACCAACGGCCAGGTGGGCACCAGAAGGAAGTGCTGAGCACTCTTGCTTTGGCAGTGGGCTGAGGCAGCTCAGAGCAAACACTTGTGTGTGTACAGGGAATGCACCAGCCAGCAAGGTCAGGGGGAACTTGTCAGAAAGTAGCCAAATCACATTGCACAAATTTATAATCCCTGGTACACTAAAAGTCACGGCAGGGGGGCTTGTCTTGGTCTTGTCTCTGACACTCCTGCTCCTCAGTGACCTTAATGTTGTCCAAGGGCCTGGGGGCACAGAGGGAACTCTTCCCTTCCTCCCAACCACTCCTCACATGTCCAGAGACCAAGACAAACAGGGCTCTGCCCCTTGAGCAAACAGCCCTAGGCCTTCAGCCTGTTCTAATAACCTCCTTCCCCAGACCCCTCAGTGTCCTTGTTCCTGTTCTCCAGGTTTTTCCTGTTGTGTCCACATCCTCCTGGGATGGTGGTGCCCACAGATGAGCCGCCTGCTTCCCACCACCGAGCCAAGTGGGAGTGTTACACCATGTGTTCTACAGATGACACTTGTTTATTTTTCCCAGGACAGTTTTCCATTTTTTCCCAGCAGCATGATGTTGTTGACTCATATTGATGATTTAATACATTATAGCTCTGCAGTGAAATGGTAGATTTGTGGGTTTGGTTTTGATTTTTTTGCCTTTCTGACTGCTTTAATAAAGAGGAAAAAAAAAAGGTGCTATAGGATCACTGGCAGATTTAGCTTATTTAATTTGCTGGTTTTCTCATTGCTAAGGTTGAAAAGCCACACTGACAAAAGTACCTGCTGGTGCCATGAAGTCACTAAGGGCTATCAGAAGGGTTGTACAGCCCCTTCTTTTAATCAGTATCAGGTGAGAGGATTGTTCTTCACTTCAGGTTTGTCTGTCTTCACAGTATAATTTACACTGTATTTGTTTTTATGGGTCCGAAGTTAGAGTTTGAAGATGGAGTTAAAAATCTAGTCCTTATTTACCTTTGTTTCTGGGAAGCAACAAGATTTCTGTCCCTTTGCTGTCTGTGTCACAGCAATCTGAACTTCTCTTCAACCCAAATGTTATCTGTGTGTCCAGGCCTTTTACCTCCTGTCAACAAACCCACGTTGATTGAAGGCTCAGTTTTGTTATACACGTTTAAAACTCTGTTTTACCTTGCAGGTCTACACAAGGGCCATTATGTCATGAGAAATATGAGAGATAACAAGTCCTGCAAAGCCATAATTTGTGTGCAGGCTGACATGTTTCTGCAGCATGGACAGGGAAAAAGAGGTTGTGGGTTTGTGTTTTTTTAGATTTTTAACACAGTTCGGAAACAGATGAGCATTTAACCTCCTGAGACCAAACATATGTTACTATGAAGTAGCAAACTTGCGTGTTTGTTGCCCATTTCATGGCTGGAAGCTGAAGATGTTTTGGCATCACTAGTTAAAGTTTGATAAAGGTAATTATTGGTGTGGAAGCACCCGAGCTGTTTGCCATGTTGGCTACCTTTCAGTCCATCCCACTGAACGTTCAGTGCTTTCCAGTCAGACATTAGAGACCATTTCATGAATGCTTATAGTAACCTAGCAGTGTTTCCTGCTGCTGTGTGTGCACTGGCTCCCTGAGTCCCAGGGTATTTATTTCTGTCTCTGTTATTTTCTTGTTAGAAAAACATTTAATACTCAGACTATGTCTTCTGCACACATTCAAGTGGTAAAAGGCGGGGGGGAGAAAAACAGTCTTGAAATAGCACATTTTCAGCTCATGTTTTGTGTTTGGAATAAGTTTGTGGATGTTGCAACAGCTGTAGACTCTTGATTTAGTCAGTGACATGATTTCACTCGTTCTTCCCCAGCTTCCTGAGCTCAGCATGTCCCGCTGTTGTTCGGGAGAGATACCGGCTCAGCTGGCTGCTTTTCCAGGCAGCACTGCTCTCCCCAGGCCTCCCCCTGCAGACACCAACTTCTGTGTGATAAGGAGAAGTTTTCAGCTCTGAACACTCATCAAAAACACCACTGCTCCGGTAAGTATGTTAAACTAAGGCCTCTGATGCCTGTCCAATTTGTCTCCTGCACAATACTCTTCTCAGTTTGCAGCTTTAATGCAGCGGGATCGGAAATAATCAGGCTTTGAAACAGAACCATGTGGTTGAACACACAGCACAGAAACCAGAATGTTGGAGAATTGCATCATTATCTGTGTCAGACACACAGAGCAGCCCACGAGAGACAGCTTTGTATCACAAATGGAGTGGTGGAAATCCAAGTCAGTCCTCTCTCTCCCTGTCCAGAATTATCCTGGAATGGGTATTTCTGACTTAAGGGGAAAAAACCCTCCCCATAAAGAATAGGGTGGGTTTAGTTTTTAGGACATTTAATGATGTACTGGCACATAGTAACTGCACTATAAATATAGTCTGAAAAAATATGAGCTTAGTTTGGAAGCTGCTCTCAGCTAAATTATGGGGTTTTGATCCTGACCTAAACTGATCCCACATGTTCCTGGATTCTCCCAAAGTTTGAGTGCACAGTAAATCAACTGTAATTTTTCCTTTTTATTGCAAAGAATGAACAGAAGAGATTGGAAATTATATGACTTTGGCATATGTTTATCACATGGTTTAGGATTGTTTGATATCTTTTTAGCTGTAAGATTTAAGTAAAGTTTAAAACGGGTATAGAGAATCAAAACTAGGTAACTGGCATTAGGTCACCATGGTTTCAAAGACATTCAGTGCCTCTGCAGAGAAGAACTAATCTTACAAGTACTGGTGTGTTCTGCTCACACACACTGAGGATGTGAAGAGATAGTACCATAGTAGGGAACAGTAAAGAAGGAGGAAATATCAAATGACTTCCTTGGGAATAATTCCCAATGCTTTAAACAACGGCGGTTGTACCCTGGGTTGTGCTGCTTCTCCTTTGAAAAACGAGTATGTTCAGTGTTTATGCTTTTTTTCCTCTTCTAGGGCTTTTTCTTTCCTCTTCTTCACTCCTTGTTGTACCAGCTTCAGTGGTGGTGCTATTTTGTACTTTTTCTTTGCAGCCCATACCTTGTCCCTTCTTCCTGTTCTTTGGTTCCTTTTTGCAAGTTGGTTTTTTTTTATTTTAACTGGAAAGTTGGTATATCCTTTACTGGTAGTACCAAAGTATGGCTAAACTGTATTCTTGAACGTGGCTTTGCTAATGGACTGGCTTTCCCCTCTGAAACATTATGATGCAGCTGAGTTTTGTGAGCTGAGTGCCCACACAAGCCTGCTGCCATGTGGGCTGGAGAGCCAGCTTGTCTAAGCCTTCCTCAGTAATTACCAGGCAATAAAAGTTAACTGCTCCATAAAACCACATGGAAGAACCAAGCTATTGCTGGCTGGCCCTGCTCAGCCATCCTCTTCCTGTGTGCTGGATCTTTTGGGCAGGGGGAAGGACCCACTGAGGTCCCTTTTGGCTCTGTGTTTCTGGTAACTGGTGCCCTGGCCCTGGGCTGCTGGTGTCAAGGCTCAGAAGCACATTTCAAAGCAGGAGCTTTAAGCAGTGCACCAGTCTGACCTAAGCAGTTCCTATTTTATTTGTCACAGAGGAAAAAAGAAGATAACTCACTCCTCTAACACTGGACTGTTTTCTAGACACCTTGAGAAATGCTTCAGAGTGATGCTTCAAAGCCAATCTACTGCAGCACTAAATAAGCTGCTGGAGAGTGAAGGTGTCTAATGTGAACCTGAAGACAGGGCAGCTTTGCAACTCCCCTAAATTGGCCATGACTCAAACTGGCAGAACTAGTCCTAATTCTCTAGTTCAGTAGATGTGCATAATGGCTTTGTGGACAAATGAAAAATGTCAGGTTTCTGCCAACCTGCTCCCAGGATTTATATCGCCGCTGTGACTCCTAATTTATACTGCTGTGCTTCTGGTATCTTCTTTCATCATGTGTTTCTTCAGCCTCATTTTTTACTTCTCTATCAGATAACAATCCCATTTATTTTAGGGGATTTTTATTTTTCATTTTTTATTACTAAGTAACTGAGATTTCAGTCTTCTTCAGGGGTTGCAAGTTTAAAAATGATGCAGAAAACTGTTAAGATGCAGGGTGGGTAGGCTGGTGAGTTGTAGAGTCAGGCAGTCAGAAAGGATCGTAGGATATCATTTAATCCATACTCCTGCCCCAGAGAAGAATATTTACACTAATGTTCCTAACAGAGGCTTGTCTGAACTGTCCTTAAATATCTCCAGTAATGACAACCCTTCAGCTTCATTAGGCAACCACTTGCCCTTCATGTTAGAAAGCTTTTCTTAATCTTCAGTTGAGTATTCCAGGATCCCAGAAATAACCTGTTTGGGGTAGTGCAAAGAGAATTCAGCTTCTTTTCTGCTTGTTGCACTGGTTTTCCAGGAGTGGAAGAGAGAAGCAACAATATGAAGGGTACTTTCAGAACAAAGTAGGTATTTTCAATCCTTTTTGACATTCTCGGTGCTGGGATTGCCCGCAGACACTTGAGGGTCTCCCCTTTGCAGGAGGGATCACAGCTCAGTGTTTCCTGCAGGGAAATCAAAACACTGAGCTCTCTGCAGGGGCTGCCCATGGCCACACTGCTTCTAGTTAAACACCAACGAGCTGTTGGGCTCAATCTAGGCAAGGGAGCTGAGAAGGGAAACACTCGAGAATGCCTTGATTAATAGCATCCCTAAATGATAATGGCTGTTTTATGGCTTTTGTAAAGGATTGGAGTGTTTCTCATATATAAAAATAGACAAGATGTGGTTGCAATTAATGTAGAGGCTCTTTGTTGAAGCTGTTGACTGTAGGAAAGAACCCAAGGGTTTCTTAGGCTCCTCAGTTGTAAAACTAACTAAATACATCTAGGGCTGCCTTGTGTCACTCCATGGCATCTTTCAAAGCTGTAATTAGCAGATACCTAATGAGTTGTGGCTATAGCATGTGGATCAGATGACTCAAGTATTTACTCTAGGCCTCTGATTCTCTTTCTCCACACAAGGGAGAATAATTTGGCTTTAACGTTTAGAGACTCATTTTCTTTGGTCCTCTTGCCTAGAGACTTCATTGTTTCCAGGACAAGAGTTTGTGTGTCAGTTCAAACTCCCTGGTTTTTGAAGCCTTCCTATTTTTTTCAGCCCACATTCCTTCCTTCCACAGTCTTTCCTTAGTCCCCTGGAAAACTTTGAATGTTATCTTTGACAGTCATTTCATACTGACTGTGCCTGAGCTGACCTTGGTCCAGAAATTTCCTAATTGCTCCCTGTCCTCAGCCATTCCACCATAAAGAGCAAATATTCAGATGAACCAAATATTGACTAAATCAAAGGTAAATATCTCTGTTAGCTGTTTTTCTAGACAGCTGGATGTCCCTGAAGACTTCTCAAAGCCTTTCTTTAAGAATTACTGCATGACCTCAGCTGTGAGAACAGCAGTACATGTAGATCCATACCTGCAAGTGGCATGTTACGGGCAACCTGTATCACATGTCCCTGAAAGGGATTTAATTCTGGGATCAGCACTTCTCTAGACATGTTTTCAGGGGACCTGAGCTGAATGTTCAACAAGTGTTTAATGAAGAAAGAAAAAGCGTGGGGGAGGTTCCCCTGTGCTGTAAGAGTATCTGTTTTATAACAGCCATGCTTGTCACTGGAAACATGATTGATTAGCTCTTCATCACCAGCCACTCTCTTAATTCTTCAGATGGTGGCAAAGATGAATAGGGAGTGAGCTTCATCCTTCTGGAAAGCTGGGAATTTAAGCAGTGCCAATCTCATGGTTGCAGGCAGTTGACTGAATCCCATGGGAGTTGCAATCAGACCAGTAGTCCTTTTCCCAACAGTGATATTTAACGTGCCAGTCTTGTTTTCCTCTCAGCCCAGTCATATTTCTTTCAACGATGAAAACAAGGAGCACTTTTTCCTTTATTCAGTTGGCTTTGGTCTGTGGGCACTGAGTAATTTAGGCAATTTATAGAAGATTGGCTCCAAGTTCCCTCAAAATACATAGGTTTGTATTTACATCTCTGTCTATGACAGTGATTTGCCATATAGTCTGAAGTTTTGAGGATGTGGGGTTTTTTGGGTTTTATTAACCTGATACAAGGCTTTATAATTAACTCTCGTGACTGCTGGGAAAATAAGTTTCCATGAACCATTAAGCAAGTAAATAATTTCTGCTTGTCAGTCAAGAAGATCTTACTGTTCTGTTGGTTGTTTTCAGACGTATTTAATAGACTGAACTAGAGGAAAATGCCTCCTAACAAGGATCTTGCTTTAGAGATGTTTATAATCCTCACTATGAAAGCTTCACCAAAATGATCTGTTTAGGATCTGTTTAAAACTCATGAGAAAATCCAGAACTAAAGCAGGTAATGAGAGTCAATCAATTACTTTGAGCTATAGGAAAAGTAATTCCCAGCATAATAATTTAGGCTATCAGCCCATGGTCTACAGCTGAACTGAACTGCACAGTGTTATTTGCAACTGGGAACACGACAGTATAAACTGCCTGAGCATTCCTATTCCACCAGAACTCACAGCTTCCTAAACAAATGGGCAAGGCTGGAAATGGTGAGCCTGGGAGATGCATGGCATGACCAGACACTTTCCATTAATCCTCCCACCTCTTGGTGAAGCCCCTGGGCAAAAATATTTGTAATATTCCACCCTTTTCTTCCAAAGAGGTGACTCATGTCTGGGATCCTGCGACTTTTCCTAAAGGGGAAAGACTGAAACTCATGCTGTTATAGAACTAAATTCAGTGTTTTCTCTCCCTTAGGACCAACATTTTTAACTAAACTAGAAAACTGGCAGGTAGTCTATCGGTTTTCTGTCTTGATATTCCAAACCATTAAAACCAACAAAGCCTGACTCAGAGGAGGGACGTGGATTAATGACACAACTGTGTTTGCAGATAAACGGATGAGGTGACCTTTAGGTTCTTTCCCCTTTCTTGCAGTGACTGATGCCAAATTACTATACAAGAAAAAAGCAACTTCATAATTTACAAAGTAGCTGCTG